TCCTGAGAATTCTTCTTCTTGAGTATTAATTTTTAAATCTTTAAATTTAGTATCAAGTAGTTTCTCTAATTGTGATAAGGATTTTAATTTAAAATCTTTTATTTCAGGTGGTGGTTGAAGAGTTGGTGCTGCCACAACATCTACAGTATTATTGCTAGAACCACTAGCATGACTAGTATAATTGTCTAACCTGCTTTGTATAGATAGGATTTGTTCCCCTAAAATGTTTAAATAAACACTTGCATAATTATTTTGTTCTATTATCTTATTTACCTGTTTTACTGTTATAACCAAAGTTTCATCTTCAAATAACTTTGTATATGCAGAAAAACTCATAACAACATTATTTTCCTTTTCTATTTTAAAAGTTGTTGTGTAGGAAATAGTGCTTTTAGCGTATTTCCATTCGAGAGTTTATAATCTCTTTCTAATACACATATGTGTGGTTCAACATAAACATATATAAACCATGGAAAAAAAGGAAATAAAACATTACGATGTAATAAAAACTTATAAAACTCATCCGAAATAAATTTTTGCATTTCTAAAGAGAAATTTGGGAAAAACCACTTTCTAAATGGTTCCCATCTTGGAAGATTAAACTCTTCTTTGACTTAATGTCTAGCCAAAGAGCCTGGGCTAAAATCTATCTTATTCATATTCAAAATGTCATTTCTGACTCTGTTATATCTTCATCTTTTGTGTTATAAACACCTTTAACTATATTTTCTTTATTTTTTTACTAATTTATCAACATGGCGATTATTCTCATCACGTTCACTAACCTGTGAAGTAGAAAAATGATAAGGATGTTCACCATATGAGGTAGAAGCACGACTAGGAATAAAATCTTTATCCTCTATTAGAGGTGAAATATAATGAGTTGAATATGATCGAGATAATCCAGATCTATGAGATCTGTTATTATTCAATATGAATGGATTATTCCTCATTTGTATATAAACATGTCCTTCAGGAGTTTGTTCAGTAGAACTTACTTCTGTATTTGTTTGTGACTGGATGTTACCAGTTTTTTCTATAATCCATTGATCCAGAATAGATATTTATCCTATTTAGTTGTCCTTCTTGTAGTAATCTTTGATTTATTGAAATTAGTTTCAATTAGAACTGTCTCATTTATATTTTTATCAATTAATTTACAATTGGAATTCAAAGTCATGAAAGGTTAATAATAAATTCTATAACACACACAGATCAATTCTGATCCAGTCATATAATTATATCCATAAGTTTTAACATTCAAATTCAATGCATCAAGGATATTGACATCACTTAAAGATAATGAAAGATTTGGATAGACATTAAAATAAACTGGGCCATGTGTCAAACTAGATTGTATTATTCCCATTAATGATTGTTTCCAATTCAAATTTCTAGCATCTCGTAAACAAGCTATAAAGCTTTCTGGCAATCCTTCTAAAGTTAATGGTTTAAAAGCAATTTGTACCAAACCAATATGAATAAATTTATACAATTGACAATATCTATTAATATCATCTGATTGTAATAATTTGATCTCTATTTCCTCATTATCTAAAGAAATAGATTCTTCAGTTGTTTTAACAACTTGTTTCAAACTTAATTTTTCAAAAGTACCTAACTGATATCAGTTTTTAATTCAATCTTTGGAATTGTCCATTTATTAAGTTTTTCTAAATTTTCAGGAATATCATATTCTTGTTTAAGAATATTTTTAACAGTCTTCTTGTTTTTCTGAATTAAATTCATTTGAATTTCAAGGGTGGTTGTTAAGATTCAGTAGTTACAAGTCTACTCATGGCTCTGATACCACAACTAATCTTTGTGGTTGTATTTATATAAACTTAGTTATTTTTTTAATAATATAGTTTAGCAGTAAGTGTACCATTTTTTTATTCATTTTTTCCTTAATTAAAGAATTACAATTTTTATTTAAAAATAATATTTCACATAAAAATAAAATATTTAATATGGATTATAAAATAATTTATCAAAATATTTCAGTCCATTACAATTTAACTCAATAGACCATAAATTTTGTCAATACTCTTCACATAGAATAGTTAGAATAAAATATGAAATCATTAAAACCTTTTTAAAAAGTCTCCAAATGTAAGCTTTTCTTCCTCAATCCAACGTCTACTCCGTATCTCAACAACTTATCACTCTATTACTACCTCCATTCATCTACTTCAGAGTACTATTGTATACATAAAAAAGACTTCACGCTGAAGTGAGATATATTAATGATGTGAACATCTATGGTAATCAAGTCCAAGATGATCAAGGTGTTCAGGTTCCAAGTACTGTCCAAGCTCAAGGAGTGGCTCAAGATCCATTATCCAACATTGGAGGCCCAATGACTCAAGTTAGAAGTAAAAGAATGAGGAGTACACTTAATAATCTTATATCAAATGATTTAGCCCAAGAGAATGTCAAGTCTGGAAGTTACAAGCCCAAGATTATTAATGTCTTACAAGGCCCATTTGAGGAAGGAAATTTCAGCCCACAAACCAAGCAAGGGAGGCGGCCCTATCTCCTAATATTTAGGAGTTAGAATCTCTATCTTTTAGGGATAAAATCATTTAAATCTTATCACACTTGTGGAATGATAAGATGTGGAAGATTCCCTATCTTTTAGAGATAAGATCATTTAAATCTTATCACATGGAAGGATAAGATTTGATATGATTCTCTTTTATCTAATTTAGAGTTTATTCAAAATAAGAAGTCTATTCCTTGGTGTCTACTCTCAACCGTTGGATGGAGATTAGATCAAGATTGGATGGCTATGATTACTCTACAAACAAGATATTGATAGAGTTGACAACTCAGGAAGATTCTTTTCAAGATAAGGATAAGATTTTTTTGAGAGAATATCTCTTTGTATTTAGAGTTTTATTTTCATTAGACTAGTGTGTCTTAAGTCTATAAAAGGTGTCTAGATACATTGCCTTAATAGATAAGACACAAGTTGTCAATTAGAGGTTAAGTTGATTTCTAGATCTTTGAAGTAGGAATAGAGTTAGAGATCAAAGTCTTCTCCTACTTCATAGGAGAATTTCGGTCCCCTCTACTATAAATAGGGGTGCTTGGCCAGCATTTCACTTGTACCTTTGATGAATTTGATATTTCAATATGAGACGAGAGGAAACTCTTTGTTCTTTTTTTATTCTTTTCGAAGATTAGTGCATTGCACACAAGCTTGTGCTTTGTTGATGCATGCGAGTAGAATATGTGTTTTTCTACTTGTGGAGCTTTGTTAGTTGTTCATTGGAGCCTTTTCGCTAGCCGTTCTATCCATAAATCGAAGGTATAGGATTGTTAGAGAGGTGACTGATTGGGTTGTTAACCTTAAACACTTTCTACATCTTCTAAACCTTTCCATCCCTTTTTGGTGTAAATTTTTGTGGTTTGCATCTCTTCTTTCTTTTTATTTTTCGTGAATTTGGAGTCCATAATATTGGATTTGTAATTTTTCAAGTCTTCAGAAATTCATAACTTCCGCGTCGAGGTAAATCTGCCACCTTTGCCTCAAGATTCGTATCAATTAATATCTCAAATAATTATTATGAGATGTTAAACCCGCACAATGATAAGTGTACACATGTTTAATGAAATGTTTTGTATCATTTTTGTATCTGCAGTAATACATATAGGGAAAAAATTACATAAAAACAATAAAGAATGATGCCTCTAAGATCTAAACTATCTCCCTAATTTCAAATGTTTAAACCCCAAATATAAAGTATAAAATTCAATGGGTGTGATTTAATCCACATCATTCATTCCCACTTGTCCTTGTAGTTTATTCTTTGCTCATATCATTATTTTTTTTTTATATATGCCATGACTCGATAGATCATCTAATGTCGGGTCATTGTATGTATTTTACCATGTTCCTACTCAGCATTGATCTTATTTATGGTAAAGAAACAATCTGCATAAATTTTCTTTTTTAAAAAAAATCACATAAACATTAAAGGAACAATGAAAAAAAAAATTAAAATTGATCCAGGAGGATGTCATGTGATTTATAAATGATGGAAAATCATTCTAAAAGAAAATAAGTTTTGGTTTTTGTTAGTGGAAGAAGGTATGAATATATTTTATTTGATCATTTCTAATCTTTATAGCCTTATTCACCAAAAAAAAGATAAATCATTAAAATATATTAATAAATTATTTTGTAGTCGCGAATGAGGAGTTGGTTTAGTAGTAACACCACCCTTGCTCTAAGAGGAGGTCACGAGTTCAATCCTTCATTCCAACAAAAAGTGAGAAATTACCTCTCACCTTACCTATTGGCACCTCTAGGAGTTTGTTATGACTAACCTACTAATGAACCCACTGTGGTTTACCTCCCACTGTGATTTATAGACTATTGCAGTTACAGTGACCGTGGATTTACCATCTTTGGTGGGTTCCCGACGTTACCAAAAAAAAAATTATTTTGTAATCTAAACTAACCATTTTCTTATGAAGAGTTGTAGCGTTAATTAAATGTTGTTATTCTTTTGGTACGGAGAGAGCATCGAATAAGAGAATCCCATTAATATTCACTCTTCGTGTTATCCATAGCAAAATATAGGTCAGCAACCGTAAGGCTCATAGTATCTCCTGGATACCACTAAAATTTCAAACACAAAATAAAAAAAATAAAAAATAAAAATAAAAAGATAGAACTCAATTACTATATTGTTTAAGCTAATAAAATGATTCACTTCTCCACTACACATGCATTTATCTTTCAAATTTAATTTTGAAGCCAAACTGAGCCGGTAGATGTACCAACTTCATCCTATTCAATAACTAATCTTGAAGCAAAGGTTCCAAAAGGCTTGAGTTCTACTCGGTTTGTCGAGGGGAATGTCCATGGTGAATGGTACGGTCAATCACTTTTACGCTAGGGGGTGGGAAGGCAGAGATGGAACCTATACAATGATTCTAGTGTTTTCCATTCAGTTCTCCTCTTCACCCACACCCCAAAGAAAGAATGACTAAAAATCGAAGCATATAAGATTCGGATAATCTGAAGACTGTAATTCAGGTTCACTGGTCAGCTTATGATGAACAGCTCGCTTTGGTTCTTCATCGGAGTCAATAGGTCTAGCACAGATAGCACCTACTGAACGTTTTCTTTTCATCTTTTTGTCCCAACTCTCCCCTCCAGCAGGCAATTTTCGAATCTTTTCTTCAACAATACCAGAATTCACACTACCACCTTTAACCATGTCTCTGTCTCTAGAGATGGCCAAAGGCTGCCTAGGTAGACCATTGCTCCTACCCTCAGCCTGAACACAAATACAGTGCACATACAGTCAGATGGAAAATCTACAAACAGAATGCCACGAAACTTTTGTGTCATTCTCTTTCGTCTAAGCAAAGGGAAAGATATCAAGTAATAAAGCTGCCAGGTATTAAATACAGTTTCAATATGATCAAATACAAACCCGAGTTTCTGCAACTGATGTGCGGACATGTTTATTTAGTACAACATTCTTGGACCTATCATCCAACTTAGGATGGGAAAGATCTGAAGGGCTCCGAAGCATCAGGCTTCCTAGCTTCAAATTTGAGCTACCAGATCTATCACTAGCTAATAGCTCATTCCGCTGTTGTTTCTTGGAGGTTGTACCTTCGCAATATTTGGTCAGCTTATGCAACCATTCATCCAATGTTTTAGCTCTACCACTGACCCATCAGAAGTGCAACACACAATCAGACAAAACATTAAGAAATTAAACAAATAAAAGGTAAACACACAAAACATAATATACATGGAATGTATTGTACATTGAACCTACTCCATCCTGAACTTGGTTGATTGTACAGAATAACTGAATCTATGCTGGACCAGCAGAATTTTCATGTGTCCAATCCAAGCCCACTCTTAATATAAATGACAGATTCTGAAGTGAAGTCCAAGCAGCGAAAAGATGCCTCACTAAAAGAAAAAAATAGAGATAGCATTGAATAAAAGCAAAAAATGGGCTCTCAACTAAACTGTACTGAAAAGGAAACATTTTTTCCATACAAAGTATTAGCTTTTACCTAGCTCTGATGCATGTATCAGCCACACTCTCTCTAAATCTTTTTAACTCTTCTATGGATGCTGGAGGCGAGTTTCTTAAATGGGATGTGCCAAGTGAACTGTCCTCCATCGAATTCCCAACAGAGAAGCCAAGAACCCTCCTTAGTTCAAGTGAAGGATGCTGTTTCAGATCAATCCCATCAATAGGATCCAACATCAGAATTGGGACAAAAGAAGATTGATCCCCCGTCGGTGCACCACTCCCCCTAGCTTTACCTTTTCCAGAATTGAACATACGACCATCAGAAATATCCCTGAAGCTACCTGACCGATCCAAAATTGGACCAGAATAACCCCCTCTTTGCGCATAATTTCCAGGGAAGATTGCATCAAGGCCAGCTGAATTCAACTCAAATCTTGCATTGCCAGCCATTCCAGAAACTCAATCACAACTACTCATAATTATGAACACTTCTCTCCCTCATTAGTTAGCTCTGATCCTGCACCATTCATAATCACAAGAACAAACACGATCACCATCGTAGTGAGATCAAGTACTAACAAACAAACTCCTGTGCACGGAACTATCAGTTATAAATAATCTCAACTTGCAGTAACAATAAGATCACGGTATTATTTAACCAGAATTTTCCTCTCCAGTAGAGTGTCTAAGGTCAGCATTTAAATTTCCCACCTTGAACTCAAAATAGAACCTTTAAAACTACAACAAACATGAAAGTGAAATGTTATTACAGATATGATTTCTTCCAGTTAAAAGGGGATTTCTTTTCCTTAGTTGCATTCAATTTAAAGGCCACACAATCATCAACCCATTCTGTACTTGTTACCAAATAACTTGTGACTGAATTGCAAAATGCACAAAAAATCAATACTTTACGAGCATGTCAAAGCCCCCAGTTCATAGCATTACAAACTGGGCGAACAAACTCAAAGTCGTAGCTTTACAACCAACTAAGACACTTAATCAGAAAACCATTCGTAAAAACAAACCACACTGACTAACCTAAGCCAGCACCTAAATTAAAACAACCTAAGCCAGCACCTAAATTAAAACTCTCAAGACCCCAAAGCAAAATCGACGCATAATTCAACTAAAGTCAATCAATATGAGCAAATTAACCCCAAATTCCAATGCCAACGAGCTAAATAACACCATAATCAGAGCAAACCAAGCAACATCAAGGACAAAATGGCTTACCCAAGCAAAAAAAAAAAAAAAATAGAGAATAAGAAGCAAATGGGTGAGAGAAGATAGATACAAGATAAAAATGCTTACCCAAAATCCTGCTCTGCACAAACCTACAGTCCCATTCACAATTGAACATAAATTTTCCATTTCCCGACCTACTGTCATAACTTCCTCCAAAATTGAACTGAAACAAATCAAAATCAAACTACACAAATGAGCAAGTAATCTGAAATACCACACAAATTAATTCAATAAAACAATCTGAATATACACCATCTGAAGAATTAATTGAACCAAGCGAATGTGGATGAAATTGAAGGTGAAAGGCGAAAAACATGAAGAATGCACAAGATAGCAAAAACAACTACAGATGTAACCAAATCTAAACAAAAAATGCAAGATCAATTCCAAGGAACCTACAAATCAGCTGCATGGCCGTTCATCAACAGTCTCGAGTACTGCAACCAAAGCAGAAATTTCCGCCAAATCGTTCACCGTCTAAGCCTTCTCGTAACCCTCCGCCACCACCACGCCCTCTCGGAGATCCCATCAAATCGGCTTTGAGTTCCAACCAAACAAATTTTACATGTTAAAGCTTACTCTTTTTCCGTCGGCGTGAAAGAGCTTGCGACAATCTCTCCCTCGTCGATGTGAATCAATACAAATCAAAAGATATCAGGAATTGATGAATATAGAGGTAGAAATCAAAAGAACTCCCCCAGAAAAATCACAGAATGCTCTACCTTAGAATTCGATAATGAAATCATCACCGAATTTCAAAAGCAGTGGAATTTCAATAATGAAATCAACATCGTAGGCAGAAAGAAACAGAATCAGACGCTAACAAGAGGGGAGCTTGTTCCATTTGGTTGGACATGGTGGTGCGTGGAAAATTCGATTTCACCGGCATAGTAGTTGATTAGGTTGAAATAGTAGGCGGTGGGGGGAGAAGGGACTGATGCGGAGGCTTGTGACAATGGAGGAAATGAAACACATCACATAAAATTTGACGGTGGAGGGGTGATTAAATTAATTGTTGTTTGGGCGGCAACCTAGGAACAGGAGAGCATGTTGAAGTGTAATTGTTAGGATTTGGGCGGGTGCATCGTGAACGGTAAGAGAGAAGTAATAAAATAAAGTTCAGTAAAAGACCCCCTGTTGATGTGCACGAATGACATGGACAGAAAACTTCCACATGTAACAAAACATGAGGTTGACATGGCAACAACTGTTTATATGCAGCAATTTAACTAAATTCCAAAATAACCAGAAAACGACATGTGTGCATAGGAGCATTTTGGCGGGAAAAAAATGAACCACAGTGCACACGTGGACAAGAGGGGGAAAAAATGGGCGGGAGGAGCTTATCAAAAGTCAGACTCTTTTAGTAGATTGAATGATTTTTATGGAACGATACAGAGAAGATTAGCATGGCTTCTGTGCAAGTATGACACGCACAAATCGAGAAATGACACCCGTACCCTTATAATTGCAGAAAGAGTTTGTTTCTGTACGACCCAAGGTACTTTGAGTCACTTGATATATTTATTTCCAACAATTTTACTAGTAAAGGAAGCACTAGAATTTAACATAGCCATTTCGATCTATTCCATTATTAGTGGAGAATTAAAAGGAATTGTCAATTATAACTCTTTCAACCCCATTTGCGATTGATAGTTTTATTGTAAAACTCTATTGTAGAAATTAATTTGTCAGCTGTGCATACTAATACCTCGTTATTGTAGTTGTACAAGTATATTAAATACTCTATCCGTCGCGAAATTATTGTCTATTTTGGATTTTCATTTTTAGTTCAAATTATATTAAAAATAGATTTTTAAACTGGACAATAATTTTGAGATGTAAGAAGTACTAGATGTTAAGCTCGTGCGATGCACGAGGTTTATTTATATACATTTACAAAAAAAAATAATAAATACAAATGTATGAATGTGTCAAATATAATTGAAGTCATTTTGTACTAATATAGATTATTTGACTAAAATTAAATGAGATTGCCATCATAAGTAAAAAAATATTGCCGATAATATGAAACGAAAGTATTCTATAAGTTGCACATTAGGAAAAAACGTAACAATACAATAATTATTAGCATTATGTCTAAAATAAATAATACTACACCATATAATTAACAACACATAGGTTTGATGATATATTTTGGGAAGAAAAAATTTAAGGCAATTGGAAAAGGAAAAAAAATTTTCAGAAATTCAAAAATAAATTACAAACACATTGGTTTGTTTAAACAATTTATTGAAACAACTTAAAGATGATAAAATGACTTAAACGACTTACATATTTAATTTATTCAATGAACATGAAAGATTTATTCACAATTTCACTAATATATTTTTAGGAAAATTTAAGAGAATGCCAAAAAGGATTTTAGCTTATGTGTCACTTTAAGAATGAAATTCAATTCTCTTCTCTGGTTTCTTTCTTATAATAAACTATAAATTCTTTTATAATAAATTTTAGTAGTACTGATAACATTTTTCTATTATGTTTTTCTTTGACGGGTGTCAAAGTCACGAAAATAAAAGCAACTTAGAACTGTAAATAGTGGTAAGTTGGAACGTTCTTATAGAGACGGACTTAACTCCAATACCCCTCACTGCTTCAACTAGCAACAACATAAAATCAAAAAAAAAAAAAAAAGTAAACTATAAACTACGACTTACACAAGTAACTAACTTAACCAAATGAACTGGAGCTTAGGGTTTTCGTCCACTCTCCTCTATGTAGTTACGTTATGAACACTTTGTGGTATGAACTTGTGTTTGATCAGACTCTAATATACCCCAAGGTCACTTCCGATTGATCCAAGAGATATCTTTGTATGATTAAAAGATTATATTCCGACAAAAGTTCAATTTACTAAGCCATTAAATTCTTATGTCTTATGTGATCACTCATGCAAGTTAAGTATATTTGTATCCTAATTGAAATCTTGGACTGGTATCTCTGTGCCATGGACCAAAACTAAACGTTCTAAACTATGCTTACCCTTCCGTGATTCACATAATATGCAAGTACAATCAGTTAAATGGCAAGTTTAACTAAAAGATTAATGACAACTTTAGAATTAGAAACACAAAATATCCAAGTGTGATTCATTAACATAACTACAAAAATTCAAGCGATTAAACCCTAGAAAAGAGTTTAACTACTTGCAAGTACAAACACAAATTAGTTAACACAAAGGAGATGAATAACATAGCATTAAATATTAATAAAAAACAAGAAAAAATCTAGAGATAGAAAAAACTCAGAGATATTTGTTGTTCTGCTCTGGTGACTCCATCTAAGTCGGGAGCTACTTAACGAAGTGCACAGAGCCTGCGTGTCCTCATTGTTGATGCTTCTCTTCCTTGACCCTTTGTGTTGTGGAAATTCCTACTCCCCTTTCTTGATGTTGATCTTCTTCTTTTATAGAGTTGATGCCTTCATTCCTTTTGGTCATGATGATCAGCTTTCCCAAAACTGAGAGGCTACTAAACGCCCTAAATTTTTTCCTTGAGCGCCCTAATATAACACCAAAAGACCATTTTGCCCCTACCAGATTTTATAAATTATGAGTTTCAATTTCATTCTTTCAATTCCTAAATCAATCTTTCATTTCAAATTCTCTCATTCCAAAATCTCAAAAACTCATATTTAATGGCGGAACGAATGAGACGGCTACGAAAAGAACTACGGAAACTGAAAGTACGTTAAAATTTGAATTGTTTTTTTTCAATTTTATTTACTTTGAATTGTTTTTTCTTTTAAAAAAAAGCACCCTAGCCCTGGCCGGCGAAGGAGAACCGCGCCGGGGCAAGTAGGCGCGGATACTTGCCCCGGCGCCGTTCTCCTTTGCCGGCCGGGGCTGGGGTGGAACCCCTTTCTTTGCCACCGAAAGAGGGGGGGGGGGCGAGAAAGGTCATGTGCCGGCGCCGGTTTTTTTTTATTTATTTAATTTTGTTTTAGTATATTAATTTTCTATTTTATTTCTTGAAATTTAATTGTTATTTATGAATTGTAGAATAAATATTAGTAATTTTAATTTAATTGTTAGTATTAGTAGTTGTAAATCTTATGAAATTTAGTTTAATTATTTATTATTAGTTAAATTTATGATTTTATAGTTGTATCTTAGGAATTTTTATGTTTATTAGTTTAATTTATTTAGGAAACATTATGATTAAAAGTATATGTTTAATCTTAAGTAAATAATTTAGTTATAATATTCATATTTAGGAATTCATTTGTAGTTTTAGGGAGCTTCAAGTTTTTTAAATTAATTTAGAAAATTATGAAAGTTATTATTACGAATTTAATTATAGAAAATATATTTGTAGGATTAGTCGATTTAATTGTAATTAGCCTCAAAAAAAATATTATACGTAAAAATTAAATACTTAGTATAGGAAAATTAAATAAATAAGTACAAAGTAAATAAAAAAAAAGAGGTTAGTAGATAATTAGAGTTAATAAAATATTTATGTAATTGTGGTTAAAATTAAATAATAAATTAAATATATATTTAATTTTGGTTAAAAATGTAATAAAATATGTAGATATTATTATTTGTACTTAGTAGATTTAATAAGTTAAACATTTAAGATGTATAGTAGATAATTTTATAATTAGGTATTTAAATATTATAAAACTGTATTAAAGTAATTAACATAAATTAATAATTTATTATTTAAGTTTTATTAAGTATGTATTAAAACTAATTTTTTTGGGACGCATTCAAGATTAATTAAATTTACGTGTAAAATTTAAAACTTTTGTAGAATGGGATATCGCCTCTTGAGGGATCTGGACATCGGCATGCAGTTACGCGCAATCTGTATGCTGAACATCGTATAGAAAAAGAAAAAAAAACTTAAAGAAACTGAAAAATGTACATCCTACGTTTGGCCCACTTGGTGAGTCATCCAACGTAGATGATAATGATGATTTTAAGGGAGAGGAAGAAGAAGAGGATAGTTTTGAGAGTGGGGGGGACGATGTGGATGAGGAGGATGAGGCAGCCGAATATTCCTCGCCTGAGAGGAGGGATATACATTTTGGAGGTAACTCAGTACTGAACCCCATTGGTCGTATTGATGATCAGACTCCAGTTCACCCTACCCGAGGGGGAGAAGACCATTGTTGGATTATCGGCCCTGAATTCAGTTTACACTCCCGGTGATTCCAGTGTTCGTGTCGGTCCACAGAGTACTCTTTTTAGAGGTCTCAGTACTACTCTTCATCATGCCGGCCCACAGAGTGATCTTTTTAGAGGTCCTAGTACTACTCTTCATGATACTGGACTGCGGGCCATTTTGTTTGGAGGTCCCGGTAGTACTCTTCATGATGTCAACTCCCAGCATCATTATGGCGGGACTTCGGCGCACCCCCTTCTGACTAGTCAGCCTCATTCCCATTTTGGTGCCGCCTACATTGGTGCCTCTAGCCGTCCTGAGGCACCTGCAACGTCATCAGGTACGTATTTGTAACTATTTAAGCATTCATTACTGCTTGGTCAATTTCTTAATTGCATTCCGTTAAGTATTTACCAACTATTCTTTATTCGGTTTCAGGTACTAGCAGACGGTCTAAGGTTTCTAATGAAGAAATTGATGATTGGGTTGTGACGGACGACGTACCTGGCGGGCCATGTGATGGGTCAGTGATTCCTAGTTTTCTTGGCCACACTGCTTATCAGTTGTGGAATGGAGAACCAAGAGATTACCTGACAATGAAGCCAGAGAAGAAGAGTTTGTCTAGATTGCATGGATGGTATGCGAGGTTGTCGGAAAACGCGCAGTTGCAGATTTAGAATACCGGTTTGTATCATCTGATTGATACCATGTATGATGACATTGATCTTGCGCTTATTTCTGCATTCATAGAGAGGTGGCAGCCCGGCACAAACTCTTTTCACTTGCCGTTTGGGGAAATGATCATCATGATGCATAATGTGGCACACATTTTGGCGATTCCACTTGACGGTTAGTTGTTGACCCAACCTCCGGAAGTGGAACTTTTGAAGATGTAGGTCGCGGGATTGCTTGGGTTGCCGGTGGCTGACTTAAAGCATGCATGGAGCCACGGAGGTGTGAGCGACATATTGATCGAAGAGTGTTGTCGTAGGGTCCTCCCCGCTGATCAGGTTCAAGCTTGGGTGTGGATCTTGTTAGCCTCAACACTCTTTCTTGACAGGAGTGGGGGCAGGATTAGTGCTTCACTTATGAACGACCTCTACGGAGGTATCGAAAATATTGAAGCTTACTCCTGGGGATCCGGTACACTAGCATTCCTCTATCGTCAGCTTGGGATTGCTAGTCGAGCAGGGTGTACCATGATGGCTGGTTGTATGACCCTTCTCCAGGCATGGATATATGAGTATTTTCCATACTTCCAGCCCTAGAAGAGGCAGGGACATCGAGGTGTTGATGGTTGGCCCAGAGCCCGAGACTGGACACCAGTTAGCTATAAGGGCTCGAAGCCTATTCAGAGTCAACTCCATTAGATTCGTGCGCAACTCGATGCGATGACTGAGTAAGAGATAGTCTTTCTATTTTATTTGTGTATTGCGTAAGGGGTATTTCATTATATGCACTATAATAAATTTTGGTAACGTTCGCAGGTCGAATGGGAGCCATTCAGTCGTGAATAGGCGGGCGCATATCCGAGGACCATCTTTAGTGGGTGGATTATGTACCACGACTTCCAGGAGCCATACATGCCGGAGAGAGTGCTACGCCAGCTTGGTTATGTACAGTATATACCTCGTGCGCCGCTCACGCCGGTCACTCAGTTTCGCGGGAAAAATGCGCACAAGTATCTTGTTGAGCGTCCGAGTGCCGAGACTTGTAACTGTTGGGTTAGATTTCCGGAGTCGGAGTGCATCAGTCTCAGTTATTGTATGCCGGTATCGTCTACTGAGGTAGGACAGACAGATGTAGATTACCTCGACTGGTATAAGAGCCATTCACATCCATTCCTACTGCCGACGTCCGCCCCGTCTACGTCACGCATCCCAGCTAAGAACTGCACCACTTACGTAAGTTCAACACTAACTGAAATTTTATTTTAATTAGACACGTACTATCTTGAATGGTTTAATATGGTTTTATTTAATATTTGTAGTGGATACGTGAGATGGAGAGGTTGACTCGAGGTTGCATCGAAGATTTGAAGAAACTCGATCTGGGTCTTGGTCAGGAGTGGGATACTCGCCTGGATGATGTCATCTTCCGTCACAGTCAAGCCCCATGACATTCGACTCAGTGATTTTTTTTTTTTTTACATTTATGTTACGATTTCGTTTTTGTGAACATTATGGACTTATTTTGCTTTTCAATACTATTTTCATTTAAAAATGAATGAAAAGAGATCATAAAATGTAAAAGAAATTTCACCATTTGCATAAAAAATGTAAAACAACATATCACCCGAGATCATAAAATGTCCGTGTGGGTCTTATCGGGGGATCCTGTGGGATCAAAGTACGCCATAGCTGCATTCTGGGTTCAAGAGGTACTTCCCAACCAATAACACTACTATCACGATCGTGATGCCAAATGGGGTGAATAGGTGGAATCGAAAAATCACCCTGCAGATTGAGTCGAATGAAGTGCCGGTAGGGCTCAAGGTGGCAAATAACTATCTGGAACTCTGGTCTTGTTGCCCCGCCCCGTTCGATCAGTGGTAGCACAGTCCAACATGTGCCGTTTAGATTTACAGCACCGTCTGTTCTGAAGTAGTACACAACGGCATTGAAATATATAGCAATGGGATAAAAGTCCTCTGTCGATATCCAGTGACCATCGCTTATACCAGTCCACCGTATACGCTCTAGGCTTTCAAGTAATTTCTCCAACCTGCAAAGACGAGTAAAGGAAAGTTTTAAATAAAACAATATTGATGCAAGTGTATTAAAACCGCTCACAAAATAAAACAAGTCATACCCGTAAAGGTTCCCGTACAACCCATGGTTATTTATAACCTCGTCATACACTATCTGTCTACACAAAACATGATTATTCTGCCCTCTCAACATGCAACTTGCAATGACGCGAAACCCACAATTGCCATCAGGAGCGACATCAAGATATGACTGAACATGATTGTGGAGTATCTGCGGAATCTTATTCTTATGCCTAAACTTGGAAAAGTCTGTCTGCATCACATCTTTAACAAAGTAAAATAATATCATTATTTCTGTATTACATATCAGTATTTAATAAAAATATAAGTTATAATCGTACCTCCGCCATTGGGTTCAGATCCTGACGTATGGCCTCTACTGGAACTGTTGGTGTTCGTCCCACCTAGCCCAGTCCATGTACCTGCGCTCGCACGCCATTAAACAAAATATAAGAATGAAATGATAATAATATTTCGCACATTTAAAAAGATAAAGTAATATCGGACCTCTAGTAAGATCTTCAGCTCTTGACGTATAGCTTCTACTGGAACTATGGGTGTTCGTCCCACCTTGACCCGAGGTACCTTGCCTGGTACCTGCTTTACTGGAACCGTTGGTATTTGTCCCACCCTGACTGCCGTTCCTGTATGCCCACACATTAGGTTTGTCTTGCTTTCTTTTTGAGATGCCTCCTTTCTTTCGCATGTCCTTTCCTCTCTTTCCAACCCGCAGTTGTTTCGATCCGGCTTGGTCCGGGTGAAGTTTGTTTTACATCAATCTAGTGATCTCGCACTGTATTGGCTACTCAGCAGCGTCCAATTCTTCCACTAACTGCCTGAACAACAATCTATGAGGGGGGACATCATCTGAACTATCCTTCTCTGTAACCTCACCGATGTCAAGAGTGCTCCAAAATTGGTGCAAGTATTTTGGAGTCAAAATCTCGTTGTCCTCCATTATACGCTGCAGAATACATGCACAAGGGATCGAATGAGTTCGCTTCAGGTAATGATTGCATTCCCAAAACACATCATCTCCGAGTTGCTGTGCACTTTCCAACTCATTGTTCAATAGATCCAAGCAGTAGTGTGAAACATTGCATCTTAATTGGTAGAAAGGGTGCTTGTTGTGTTGCCTCCCTATTTTCTGCCTTGATTCTTGCAATTTCTCCCTGTGGAGGAATTAAAACAAATTATTTAAACAAACTAAACACACAATATATATTATAACTATATTTTAGAATGTAAAGTCGAAATCCAGTACCTTATTTGTGTAAGCTATGTCTCGAGTAACATGTGAACCCTATGCCAGACCGTTTCAAAAGAAGTATTTGTTGTGCCGAGCCATTCCTTTAACAACTTGTGTGCGCTCTCTACTCTACAAGTAGTGATGTTGCCAAGATGCAAATAAGTGTTGGTCCATGCATGCACAAACTTGTCACCACTAACCATGTCTTCCTGACATACTCTAGAACGGGTTGAAATTGGGACCAATTATGCTCCAGAAACTTCACTTTTTCTTTGTAATCTTCCCGATTTGCAGCTTCGATCACTGTTTTAAAGGCCTTGTACGCGAAACTTTTTGTTATGTTTGAATTTCCGTTCAAAATTCTTTTCACATTTTTTTCGACATCCCTGTAAACGTGCCACGTACACAACAAGTGATGTGATGATGGAAATACATCATCAAGAGGCCTCATCAGTCCAGGCTCCCGATCAGTCACGATGACACTCAAATGCAGATCATCGCCATACAAGTTACGGAGCTGCCACAGCGCCCAATGGTAGCTGTCCCCCGTCTCATCACTCAGAAGAGCATATGCTATAAGGAATGTCTGATTGCAAGGGGTCATTCCAACAAACTCCACAAGAGGCATTTTATATTTGTTTGTGTTGTATGTAGAATCTACACAAACAACCCAAGGATACGTCCGCAACAGTAACAAAGAATCCAGATGTGCGAAAAACACATGGGATAACCTTTGTGTTGTTCTGTGACCTCTAACACCTTTCCCACGACGTTCATGGAAGCCATGTCATCTAGAATTGGAAACCCCTCCTTACGCAATTGATTTCTGTAGTTGTAGACTTGTTTGGAGGTAACCTTTTCATCAGGAAATTGTGTCCATATCGCCTATAAAATGTGGACTGCCTTAGTCCCAGCTTTAAAGTACTCCTGAATAAGCTCTTTCACTTCTGCACTCAGTGGCCTCCTGACTCGAGCCGGATCTTTGAATGAATAGTTGTGCATTCCCCACGGACCGGGATATACACGGATCGCCCACCTATCATATATTTTGTAAAGAGTAAACCGAAACAGGCATCCGGTCATCTGTGTCTTTGTATTGAGTCGGACGCGCACGTTTTCATCCACCTGTTGACCTTGGTACCGGCCTCCTTTATGACAAAGGATAGTATTATTATCCTTGTGCGAGGATACACTTAACTCTATGTTGTAGATATTCGCAATACCCTTCGCATATGCAACAGCTTCACGCTTCGTGGCAAAAGTCTCGTCTGTAGCAAAAGCCGAACTATAATCCTGTCCATCCCCCTGATCAAACATATCCTATACACATTAAAAATGAATTATATCATAACTTAAATTAACTCTAATAATATTAAACTACAAATAATTCATTATAAGCAAAAACAAAATATATATATATATAATCCGATATAATGATCTTATACTTTAAAGATAATTAATATATACTAATAACAAGCTAAATACATTATTAACAAAAATTCATTATTTAAACAAAAACCCTAAACCCTAAAACCTAAACCCTAAACCCATTAACATACTACCTAAACACCCATTTAACAAGAAACAAACTATTTAATACGAACATACTACGTAATTAACATAATTTAAACATATTACAATCTAAACACATAATTAACAAAAAAATTAACTCATTTAATATAACAACTACAACCTATGAACAAAATACGTAATTAAAAAATATTCTCTAAATATTTAAGTTTAATATTTTTTATAAATCAATATCATAAACCCTAATTATCATAAATCCTAATTTTCTTAACAAATATTAAACTACCAAACAAATACTTAAATAAAATAAATTAATTAATAAAATAAATACATGAATTAAATAAATTTATTGAAACTAATAATTTAAATAAATAAATACTGTTAAATAAATATATTAAAAAATAAAAAAATTGATTAAATTAAAAAAAAATGGGTGGCGCCGGTTTGGGCGCCACCCATCGGTTGGTTGGCGCCCGGACAAAGGTGGCGACAAATCTGGCGCCACCTCCTTCGCCTATGGCGAAGGTTGTCTCGCCTCCCTTTACAGGGAGGCGAGTTTATTCCACGCCACCCCTCATAGGGGTGGCGTATTTCTTCTGCGCCAGCCGTTAAGCCGTTAATGGCTGGCGCATTTATCTCTCGCCTCCCCCCTTCCCTTTTTTTGAAAAAAAAAAAACATACTTCCATGTACAGGGGCGTATCTGTCTTTCGAAAGGCGCTCAAATAAAAAATTAAAGGCGCTCAACAATTTCACCCTTCCCAAAAGGGTTCATTTGGTCTTTGCTCATTGTTGTTGCCCATGCTACCTTGTCTCTTGCCTTGTCCAAGTTGTCTTCTATGCTGTCTTTTCTAGCTTCCCACACGTTTTGCTCTGATTTGCAACCCCAAATTCAGCTTAATGTTGAAGTTCAATCATCACATTCTCCTTTGCAATTCAAGTAGAATCACCAACATCCTATTTTGCACAAGTGGCCCTTCTTAACTCTAATTCTCAATCACGTCCTCGTCTACACAAACACATAATTACTTAGATATAAATAATCCTCCATTAAAAATAACTCTAACTTGGTTGGGATTATATTAAGTATGTTGATGCTGATGCTGATGCGTTGATGTTGATACAATAAAAGACAACCAAAGTGAAATAAAAAAAAAATTAATAAAATTGGTCTGTGTTATTATTTTTATAATTTTTTTACATAATTTTATAAAAATTTTAGAGAGTTTTTGTTAATAGATTAATCATTTATTTAAAAAGCTATTAAAATCCGTTAATTTAGATGGAAATTATGTCAATGGGACGCAATCGACTAAATCTTCATAAAAACTAGATAAAAATTGGTCACGTAAAAAACCTTTAGGATAACATTGACGACAACCGAAAAGTTTTTGATTGGACTACAAATTTTTCCCATAGGCAAAAGATTATTTTTACCTATAAATAAGATTACCATACCAACTAATGACAATTCCACGTGATTATCTCAGTATATCATTTCTCAATTTAAAATTTTATTAAAAAATCAAAATTTCAGTATACTTTTATTAAGTTGAGACCTTGCTATGGTAATGTAAATTCATTTCAATAAAAATTATTGCACACAATTTATTTTTTTCGTAATTTATTTAAAATTAAAATTTCTTCTCATACCCTACGAAAAATAAAACCTAGTGATTGTCAAATAATTGCTATTCTAATGCATATCTGAAACATGTTAAAACTAATAACATTTCATTAATAAATGAGTATTTTTCATCAGATATGAGATGATTTTCCCGTTCCCCTTTTCAGACAAAAGAAGCAATCTGGTTTAAAAGGATTCTAATTCATAAATCTTCAAGTGTAACATTTGTCCTTTACATTTAAAAATAAAATAAAATTTATCCTCCACAAAAAAAATATATATATATATATATAATCTTTAATTCATACTTTTGCATTTTCATTTTAATTTTTTTTTTCACCCGAAGAAATAATCCAGCTAACTTACTAATAATCTTGACCATTCAATTTGTTACATTATCTCTACATTAAAATGATTACTGTACTTTGATTTTCATTTCTTATTAGTTCAATGTGTATTAAAAATAAAAATTTAAACATGAAATTATTTTGAAATGGAAAGAACACAAAATAGACTATATTAACAAAGTCACATTAAGCGCCTTCCTCAATAATCCCTCAAGTCTTTCCCAAATTCCACACGATGGTGATGTTACGCGCCGTGAAGTAAAGAGTAATTTAGTCGCTACCATTCCAGCCATGTATGTTCTTTGTTTGGCAAAGAACAAAATGTTGTAAAAAGAATATATTACCCTGTGTTCAGTATTTTCCACACATATTTAGATTCAACGGATAAATTTTAAAATTTTGAAGGAAAAGACACATCCCCAAGCATTATAACATGCAACAGCTTTTACAAATGTCCGAGAAAACGTTAGCTGATTAAATTAAACTTTTGAATTTGCCGAAGTGAAACATTGATATAGAAGCAAGTAATGTACATGAACCAGCAAAAATATGGACAATTATGATATTATTACTGCCAACCTCAACGAGGTACATAACTCCATCATCATCAAAAAAATCAAAAGAACTGGCAACGGTGAATCTGAACCCATATATTTAGCAGACACATGAACTAATAAAGCCAGTTCAATAATTCAATTCAATCAACTGAATAAATTAACTTCAAAAATAACAATAATGCTACAGATCATCCTTGGCAATAGCAATCTTTGTTATACCTGCATTAACAAAAAAAACAAAAAGGTTTTTTAAAACAAAGTCATTGTAAAGAGGCTTAGTGAGCGCATCAAACGTAAATGAAAAGGATTAAGATCGAGTAGACAAATGAAAATGTTTCAAAAAGGACCTTCCATAACACACTTCTTAAAATTTGAAATGCGATTTCATTTTGACCGTGTAAAGTTCTAAGTAGTATTCACAGAGAGCTACATAAGATGAAATGCGTGTTATAATTAATATCAATAAGTACCACTATTGCGCGAGAGCAACTTTTGTTTCTTCACCAAGTACCGAACAAAGCATCACAAATTAACATGAGTATTATGCAAATGCCAATATACTTACTAGTGTTGATGTAAAGGATGCATTGAGATAAAACGATATACCAATATCGTCAACAAACATTTCAACTTCTTGAGGTCAGAGCAATCCACTAAATTATCAACTTAATTTTTTTGCTTTTACATGAAACCGATCAAATATTCATCACTTGGGACTAAAAAAAGCCTTTGGTTCCTAAGGTGAAACAATCTATCACACGCCTCTTATTTATATTATACGTTTATGTTAAAATATTGAAACGAGACCGCCCTTACTACTCCCCCTTCCTTTACACCGGACTAGAAAGGTTTGGTTCCGAAAGGCGGAACAAGAGTGAGGCAAACCCTAGAGATAGGAAGAGAGCTACCTATGATCATGCAAAGACCCATCCAAGGTCATGTTTCCAAACATGGCAACTTTAATTCCACAATCGCGGGCCTTCTTGCCTTGCTTAGCTACAACTAGAGGATTTTCCTCTGCATCGAGACTATCTATTCTTCTTAAACAAAATGGATTTAGGAGAACTTTATTGGAGTTTGCACTTACTATGTTTCTTTTTAATTGAATTCCCATAAAACAAGATGCATGGTAGCTACTAATGTTGTCCTCTGCTGATGTATTTAACTAATAGATGCAATCACATTGTCGACTTAATTTCACATGTCCAAAGCAAATACATGCTATGTTATGTATATGACCAGGTGAACAAGGATATAGGAGTTTCTAGTCTCCCTGTTGAATTTCAACTTGTGTTTGATATAGCTAGATAAATTTACTTTAGTCTAGAAAGATTACAGAAACAAAACTGAACTTTAATGTGAAAGAGAAAAAATTTCAACACTCTAACAAGCCTTGTAGACAAGAAAATCTAGATCTTTAGCCACCTGAAGCAAATATTGCCAGACAAAATGGCTAAATAGTAGACTTCTGTTAAAAAAGTACTCATTCCATTCACAAATTACAAAAAATGTGATTTTTTTGCGATGGAAGTAGTATAAATTTCAAAAGTTTCAGATTAAAATTTGAGGAACCTAAATGGACAACTGAATAATGGTGTGCATGATGATAAATTCCAATTGCCATAGTGACTGGCAATACTAAAAAGCAGGAAAAAAGAAAAAGAAAAAAAAAAAAGGCCATCAGCATTCAGCTGTAATTGGTACTTGCTTCAGTCAAATGAGTTATAAAAAACAGTTTGAGATTGTATAATTTAAGCCCACAGGATGGGAGCCATCATCTATACTAAGGAAACAAATATGCAAATATGCTCTCTTTTATTCAATTACAGAAAGGGAGGATTATGTTTTTCCTTCTCATTAATGATTACTATTTTTCTTTTTTTCATTCCTTGCACTAGCTATATTTCAGTTGACAAATTTTTGAATGATGTTCTAATAACCACCAGGTCCACTACACAGCAATTTCTTCCCCAATTCCAGAACATATACAATAGATTTGATCGAGACTATGAGTTAGGTAAATGAGCATTGACTAGTGAAACTTTATGAATTTTAACCAATAATTTGTGACAGACGAGAAAATTAACACAATAAATCTTTGGCCAATCAAGCTGTGATATTAAAGTTTTCGAATTGGAGAACTTTTTGAAACTAATAGAAAACACCTGCTGGGGCAGACGTGATTAGAAGATGTATATATAGGCCAGACCACCAGTAACAAGCAAAAATCATAACAGTAGCTTATTATGAGGCTCAACTCATCACTGTACTACAATTTTCTTGCCTTTTTTTTTTATCTATTTTCTGTTTTGTACTGCTTTTGCACAGATGTATAGCATTAAAAGGAACCTACTGTGCTGTCTGTTGAATGTCTAAACCGTAAACAATAAGATCAGCTATTTCATCCTTTATGCACACTATCGAATCTACAAGAAACCTATGTTCATATATGCTATTGAATATCAATCAACCATATGGTTCTTCTGTTGTAATAATAAGCTAATTGCAGTTTGATCTTTCCCACTTCAAATAGAATATGCTACTGTGTTAAACAAGCTATCAAACAACCAAAAATACCATGTCTCATCAGTGAATTATAAACTGTTATGTCCGAATGTTTTACAATCTAAAACACACAAATCAAATCTTAATAAAACTACACTGTTTTACTAATCAATCCACTCCTAGACATTTGGTAAGATAAAAGATTTAGTTTCGATAATAAAATAGAGAAATTGAAGAAAAGGCAAATTATAAATAGATGTTTTTATGTGACAGTAATTCTAACTTTTGCAATCTTAGTAGTAAGAAGATATGCCAAAAGTAGTAATAGTTCATCCCAAAACCGAAAGTAGTTTAGTTGTACATTTGTTTCAAACAATCCTAAATAAAGTTGCCTAATGAATCATTTTTTATGTTCAGGAAAACCATATGTTAATGAAAAACAAACGTGCAGTATCAGTTTGTATTTGAATATTTTGAACATTCAATTTCTAGTTCCAGCACGTAATCCACAGCAATTTCCTTTTGCTTGAACAAATCCCTTCCTTGCCACTTTTCTAGTGTTATGTCTAATATTAGTGTATTTCCCTAAACTCGCAAATTTCATTTTTCTCCTTCTTACTACTTCCTGGGCAGGCAAAAGAGTGATTTATTATTTATTTTTTTATCTTTCAAAGGAAAATGTTTAGAAGTAATGAAGTCCCCTTGAACACATTTCTATTACTGAGCTAGTTTGTAGCATTCTCTACTTGTTTGGACTACCAACAAAGATTTAATGCATATGTAAATTCTAATGAGGCCAGAGGCTCATGTTATCAGTTAAAAGGGCTTGCATGGATGCAGAACTGAACCCATGCCTAAAAAAAAGATAACAATGTGAGAGAGGATACATTAGCCTTTCAATATGTGACAGCTGTTTCTCAGGTAACTATTTTGAAAGTTGAAATGAGAAACAAATTAAATTTTTTTTTTCCTTCTATTAAAAAGGAAGAATCTTGGTGGGGTTTAAGGTGTTATATCATAGTAGTATATATAATAATATCAATAATAAATAAAAGCAGGAATTTAAGAAACACACAATAGGGAAAGAAGACAGTTTTCTGACCTATATACACCACCACCAGCCCATAGATATGTATCTAAAAGTGCGCCCCTTTAGCACTGGAAGACCAACACCTGGCCTAGACCGTAGACATGCTAGAAATAAGGGAACCAAAGATGAAGCAAACAAGCCAAGACACAACAGGCCGATCCCCAGTTCGCAGGTATCCAAGCACAACCACACTCATACTCCACATTATCAAACATTATAGTATATAGAAAAAAGCTCTTTTCATTCATTAATTAATTAAATTCGTCAGAATTATAGCCCAATAGCTGTGCCTTTTTGTGAAACCTAGAAGCCCTCTTGGTACGAATTCAACACGTAGATCCAGGAAAGCAAATAGGAAATGCTTTGGCAAAAGTGACACTTGACAGCGCAAAACGCTCAATGACATGTGAAATTGTAATTAACATTTTAAAAAATGGTAATTTAATCACTAATTGGAAAGCTCAAAGAAAGAAAGATGGAATTTTTTTTTTAATTACTATTACGTACGACGTACCAGAATGAAGATGAAATTGGAGGAAGAAGAAAGTCCATTGAAGGAACTCTCATCATCATCAATGTTTAACCTTCTCTTTCTGGTCAGAATGGCCACCGCCGCCACCATCACCATCACCGCCGTAGCAGAGTTGTAACCGGCCGGCATCGAATCCGTGGAGGAAGCTGTGCTGCTGTTGAGCATTAGGCTGCGGTGGAGCTGCAGTGCTAGCAGGACTGAAAAAAGCTGCGGATCGATCCATATTCTGAAACCTATGGAGTAGGTGAGGAGGTGCAGATTGTAACAGAGACGACGACGGGACTGAAGAAGAAGAATTGGACTGAAGGGTCCCCCTATCGAACCCACCACCACCAGAAGTGGCTGATGACGGCGTCATTGTGAAGTTGAGGTTGTAATCGCCGCCGCCACCATGGTGGTTACCATTGCCGTTACTCGTGGTATTATTATTAGTAGTAGTCACAACTGGAATAAGGTGATGGTGGTGGTCTGGGACAAATGAGAATTGGTGAAGCTCGGAATGGTGGTGGTCTCCACCTCCGGTGAGACTAAACAGTAGTGGGGAAGAAGAGACTATTGATTGGTGGTGGAGTTGATGATGATTTCCGAGCTGGATTTGGCCCAAGAAACTCGTGGTCGTCGATGACGGGTTTGCTGTAGGACGACTGGAAGATAGACCACCTAGAAATCCTGTGCCAAAGTAATCCATAGGAGTTGGAGAAGATGACCAATGCCTTGGTGGGGACGATTTTTGGAAGAAATTAGACTCGCCATTGGTTGTACCCCTATTAGGACTGCTGCTAGAGGCATTAGTGTTGTTATTATGACCGGAGACACCAGTTAAGAGCTCAGTGAAAGAACTTTGAGACATAGGAGGAGGATGATTCCCCGGAGATGGATTCTGATGATGCTCTTTTTCCTTTTCTTTCTCTGCAGCTCTTTCCCTGGCTCTTTCCCGAGCTTTAATCCGGCTCTCCGACCTCGAAAGTGACAACCCAGATCCTTTACTAGTCTCAGAAGTACTACTACAAGCAGATTTAGAAAAATTCCCACCACCGCCGCCGCCTGCGGCGGCGTGATGCTGCAGATAAAGCTGCTGATCATTTTCCATATCAGCAGCTTCAGCCGAATCGAACCCGTGTTGATCTGTAGTACCAACAGTAGTGCTAGACCTCTTCTCATCACTGAGCTGCGGATGAGTGTCGGGAAATGAGGTATTAATCGAAGGAAGCTCGGAAATGGAGGAGGAAGCTGCCTTCAGAAGCCACTCCACCGCCTTACTGGGCTGATCGTAGCCCAGCCTATCTTGCAGATCGTAAAACTGAATCGCCGTGTTGACGGAAAGCCGTACCCGCCGGTCTCTTAGCCCTTTTGATGTCCACACTTTGCTGTGCCGATCTTTTCCTCCAGATGCTCTTGAAACCCTAACAATCCTCGATGATGGCCACCCACCACAGAACCTGCCAAGCCCGCCGCCGCCGCCAGCTGCCGTAGCAATATCAAGTCCGCCGCCGCCGCCAACTCCTTCTCCGGCAAGCTCGGCAATAGTAAGATTCCTCCTCTGGGCCGCCGCTGACGGCTTCCCATCTGGTTCTCCTTCTTCATCACCCCTTTTCTTCCCTACCTTGGAAGAAGAAGAAGAATCAGCTCTACCATTTCCACTTCGGATCCTCGGAAATTTACACCCTGGAGTTGGCATCTCCTCTACTTCCATTCCACTTTCATACCTTTTTTTTCCCCAAACCCACTTTCAGAAAAAGAATTTGGGAAAGAAATGAAAATGAGAAAAGATTTTTAGATTCTAGCTAAGAACTTATACCTCACACACTGATGATTTTTTTTTTTTTTTAAAGCAACCCTTTTGAATTTAGGTGAAGAAAAGAGAAAAGTTGAGGATAAATAAATATATATATATTTTTTTCTAGTTTCGTCGGAATCTGGGGGTTTATGTCATGGTTAGAGGAAAACAGGAAGGTGTGAAGGTGGGTTTGGGGGAAACTGTTTCTTCTCTTCTCTCTATGAATGTGTGTGTGTGTGTGTGGTTGTGGATGTACTGGGCATTGATGACAAAGTATACAGTGACTCCTCCACTTTACCTTTTTTTAAAAATTTTTTGGTGGTGTAAGGATAAATATACATTATTGATTTGTTCATAGTACACAAATACAGAGGGAAAAAAAGATCTATGTACGTATTTATGGGTAGAAATGTTTTCTTCTTTTTAATAATGTTTTTCTTTTTTTTCTGGGATTATGATATCAGGATATGATATGATATATCACGTTCAAGCTGGTAAAAATGTCAGAAGACCCAACGGGTCACAAAGAAAGAAGAAGAAATTAAAACAAACGTAAAGATGAACAGTACACTTCTGCTTTTTTCTTCTTTTTCTTCTTTTTTTGGTGGTTTTGCAGTCGTTTCATAATCAAAAGGCTTCTGAGAAAACTGGTTCAGAATTAGTCATGTCTTAAATCAAACAACACCCACAACAGAAAAAAAAAAAAAAAGAAACACAAAAAGAACACAAGAGAATTAATTGTGTTTTTGGTCCAAGAGAAAAGGCAGACATCAAACTAACCTAACCTACTAGCTAGATAACCACCACAATCGAAGTATAAATTGAACTGCTTTCTTTTCGCAACAAATTGAACAAGGAATCTAGGAATGGCTTTTATGTTTTAAGTAACTGGGTTGTGTTTTCAAGAGAGAGAGGAAAAAAAAAAAAAAAGTGTAACTGGGTTGATGATGAGAATGGCTAGTTAATTTTTCTTATTTGTAAGAATGTCTATTGTAAGTAATAATTACAAAAGATGTTAAAAATTACAGTATTAATTTCTAACAAAGAATGAATGAGTCTTTACCATTCAAGAGCAACCTTTTTCCGTCTTGGTTGGTTAATTTGGTCCGAAAGAAAGGCTTTCTATAAGCTGATTCTGGAAAATTGCTGGCATTATTGAAGTGGGGGAATAAGGGGAAAAATGTTAAATAAGTAGCCATTTAATAAATATTGTTGAGCATATAATAATTGTTGTTTTGAAAATTTGTACCAACCCTTTTGCTGTCTCTCCAGAAGTTGGCAGCAGATATTGCAATTAACGACAAATTTTTTTTTACCAAACAACAGTTCGATCAACTGTGTGACTTGTGATGCAATTTGGACAACATAATAGTACTACAGAGCAGATGTGAATAAAGTGTGAAAGGTCAAACTTAAAATGTGTTTGAGCTGAATTCATTATTTCTGAGATCGCTTACTGGTTTTCGAAACAAAAATATAATCATTCAAATTCTTATTATAAATTATTTTGATTTCTCTTAGTTTTCATTTATCGAGTTTTTCTAATTGTAAATAAAACCTTAAACATTCTTTATAAAAATTGAGAGAATTTAACTTGAAGAATACAATAAATGAAATTTATAAAAAATCAAAATCTCTCATACTGGAGGAGTACAATAAAACCTTCCTAAATTAATCTTCTATTAATGAATAACTTTTATTAACTAATATTTTTCTCCAATCTCAACTTGAGACTAGTACGAAAAGCGAAAAATTTCGATTAAATTATAAGATAATAATTTTTCAAGAATCTTCTATACAAATATAAACTCCCACAATTTCATAGATTTAATAAACACCTAGAATAAAAAAAATTAGATTTGAAGATTACTCATTTTAACTTAAGTATTTTTTTATATTTTTAATTATCATCCCTTTTTATGTAAAATAATAAATTTCTATATTATTTCTTAATAAGATTGAAAAAAACTCATTAAATTAATAAATCCTTAATTAATCAATAAATTAATAATCATTAATTTATCGATAAATTAATAATTGATAAATTAATAATTATTAATTTATTAATAAATTAATAACTCTATAATTTAGTAAATTTTGAAGGTCCCAAATGTATTAATTTAAAGAGTTTTCACTGCACTTGGTATATAAAAATCACTGCTTAGGATTTAACCCAAAAAATGATTGGTCTACATATGATCATATAATCCTAGTTGTTGATAATGTAAAAGTAAAAAAATGATACAAAGTTGGGTTCCTCTTACTTATTTGTCGAGTTTTTTACTTAAATATATTTGCACATTAAGAACCTGAACCAAAAAAAAAAAAAAAAATCTTTCAAAAATTAGGTGGATAAAACTGTGTGCCACGGATTTCAGAAATCCAAAGATGGGTAAGAGTCAGATTTGTGAAATCCGGATGCAGCCAAACATGGAATATTGAAATCCAGTTTTGTGTAATGTTAATCAGAAATTAAATTTATAAAAGAATTTAGTGTAATTAATATAAAGACGGATTCCCTAAATCCGATTTACTGATAAAATATTAATTTCCAGTGGGATGAAAATATGTGTTGGAAAATCCGAAAATATCTTTATGCGCAATCGGATTCCGTAAATCGGATTACTTCTTCTGTGAAAGACGGATGACGGAAATCGGAAGTTATGTAAATTTGGATTATGAAAATCCGGATCTCCTCTTTGGAAAAAGCCGGATTACCAAATTTCGAATTCATATAAATCCGGATTTCTGAAATACGGATCTCTTCTGTTTCTCTGAGAAATAGAAACCCCCAGTTAGCCATGGATTCAGAATTTCAAAATCCGAGTGTTTAACAGAAAGAATAGAGTCGGATTTTGGAAATCCGATTCTGAGTCAGAATTGAAAAAAAAAAGATTGAACTGGTTAAAACCAGTCCAAAATCGGTTTACAGCACCAACACTGAAACTTAGAAAAACAGAAATTTAATGGCAACAAAATTATAAGCTTCATTCGATTAACAACAAAACATAACAAGTTTTAATCCAAAATCAATACTAAAACTACTTTCAATTAAAAAAAATCAACGGGCTCATTTTTTCCCTTTTCCTTTCCTAGGCGCACTCAGAGTGTATTTATTTGGCGCCTGGCGGTTCCTGTCTTCCCTCCGAAGATACGTGAGTATTGAACCCTGTTGTTGACGTGGTCGGGGTTGGGGTTGGGGTTGGGGTTGGGGTTGGGATTGAGACTCTCCCATGATGAGAAGTAGGACTGCCGATTGTAGTTGCAACTCTCCACCAATGTCTTCAAATTGAAACCCAGGTCCACCAATGTCTTCAAATTGAGTATCGACCTGGATGCGCGAGCCTCTAGTAGAAGCCGCCTCGCATTCTCATTGTTGATTACCTGAACCGTCACCCTCATTTTATTCTTGCGATAACCAAGGGGGAACACTATTTTTCGCTTTCTTTGTCCTCCAATCTTCTCTCTCAGCCACAGTTTCGCTCTTTTACCCGGCGCAGGTTGTGAGGGTAGAGATGGTGCCCATCTTCCTACATAACCGCTTCACCTTTCTGCGATTATGTCGCGACACAAGATTGCTGCGAATGTGACGGAGCCAATAAAAGTGGCCACCATCCCCTAAATCATGCCATTCATCCATCTGTGACATTGTGCTCAACAACCCTGCATTTCGGTCAGATATCACACTTACGATTCTATCCTGCACAACCCACAACCTCAAATTGCTCATAAAAAATGTCCAACTCTCTACTGTTTCCTCATCCACAATCGCAAATGCAACCAGTAAAATATGCTTGTTTGCGGTATAGATCACCGCAACAAGAAATTTACCCTTGTATCCACCCGCAAGTGTGTTCCATCGATACAAATGACCGGTGGACATTCAAGAAACTTCGCAGCCACTGGTGCAAATAACCAGAAGACGTATTTAAATGTCCTATTTTCTCCTGTTCCAACCTTCTCCTCCCTCCTTCCATTCCCACTGTACTATAGTCTCAGGATTAGTAAACTTAAGTGCAGCGATATACCTACACAACAAACGAGTCATAGTTAAAACATTTCAATACATGTAACCCAAAAATAAAATAAAATAATGCACATAAAAATTATAAAAATTGATATTTACCTAGGAAGTTCTTCGAAATTCGAGGTCCAATCACCATAGACTGCTTCTATGGCTTCCTCCTCCCTTGCCACACCCTTTTGTATGACACATCTACTTTCAATAAGGTCTTCACATCTTTCTGTGTCGAGGCCACCGTATAATCTACGTTGTTCTCAACCTTTCTCCTGATGAGTCTAGCAATCAAAGACGCATCCACACACCGATTGTCATTATCATTCACGAGAGTCATGCAATTATGTGCATTATGCCACCTCACATTTTCATGAAGGCCGTGATCTTTCAAAGACACACGCATCTTCCACACACATGGTGGATCACCATCCTCACTTGGTACATTTAATGTTCTGCACCACACAGCCCACGTCGTTGGACTACTCGCGGCAACCGTATATTCTCTTTTATGATGGATGTTCCATAATTTCACAGCAAGTTTTGCTTCTGATTGGGATTTGAAACAAACACCGATGTCCATTCCTTTGGGGGTCTCATCCCACATCTTAATAGCAAACTCATCATTGTCCGCACACGAGACATCCTATTTCCCTATCTTACTATATACATGGCGTCGGGCAATGGATTAAGATCCCTTTCCTCATTTTCCAATAATTCATCATCATTTTCCTCAAAATCACTATCTGCAGAGAACTCAAAGTCTTCTTTTTGTTTTCGCTTGGAGCTATGTAGTTGGGATCCGACTCTTCCATGTCATCTTGTGCAAATAAAGGTGTCTCCTCTTCATCACGGTTTCGAGAAGTACTAGCACGTTTCCCCCTTGGAAAACCACCAAACAATACGTTGTTTTCCAAACTCGCTTCTCTTTCTTCATGAGTGATATCTTCGAAATCTATGTATAAATCCAAACATGACATTGGAGCTACACGGTTCATGAACTCTACATGCGAATCATTCTTGATCTTCGCTACACGCCTACCACTAGAACTATCGAAAATTACAGAAAGGTGGAGTTTCATGTGTGTTGGATCCCAACCAAGTGTCATACAAATCTTATCAATTCCACATATGATAACCTTTCCTCAACAAACAAGCATCATCCAGCATATTCGAAAAAGTGTTGATGATACCATTCTCTATCACATACTTGCTTGTATGAAACAAATTAAGCATGTATGACACATTACATGCCATTGATAACTGTTTTAAAAAAAATATTAATATCTAATCATTTCCTTATAACAAAATCAACAAATATACCATATATACTCCATTCATAATTCAAAAAATCTATAAAATGCTAAAATATTTAGAAATCAACTTCCATCTCTCATGAACAACTATGATTTCTCATCTCTAACCTCAAAATCAACACCTAAAACATCTAAACAATCAACAAACAAAATTCTTAATCTGTCATACATCATTCTAACAATCAAAATAACACAACAATGAACTAAATAACATGGTTTTGCAATCTAACTTCTTTTAAATAACGATCCCCACATATCTAGCAGCAAGGTTGCATAAAAAACTCCAATTCGCCAACCAAGAGCCGCAGAAACAGAAACTCCGATTCAGTTCTCGAAAGAGAACTGTTT